GTACTTTCTCTGTCCTAAAGCTAATTTACAATAACTTCAGCAAATTCCGTACAAATGGTGGTCTCCCTAAATAGTTTGAAAATGCTTGTCATTAAAGTCTATATAGAAATTAGATGGAAGGAGACAAAAATTGTACATACACTTGAAAAGGAAAACAGCAATAGAGTCAGATAAACATGAGGGTATTCCAAAAATATATACACAATTTAAGTTACATAAGAGACCTGTTCAAAAACTATCAGGTTTATCTGGCCCTTTACATATTCTCCTTGTTCTGTCTAATTCACCTTTTAAAGGGGTGGTTGGCACTTTGTGTTATGGTCTAGGCCAGTGTTTCCTAAACTTTTCTTATGAAGAAAAAAAAAAACTTGTATTTTCAAATATTTCACTGCACCCCTGTGAAGAAGCCGCGGCTCCCCGGGGCACAGTTTGGGAATCACTGGTCTAGGCTGTAATATCTGCACCAAATGTCAAATTTCAGCAAATCACAAATCAGTAGCCCTTTACAAAATGCTTTTTAGGGAGACAGTTGGTCTTTTTTATTTCTGCCTCAGCAAAAACCAACAAGGGGAATATATTCTTCTGACATAGCTCACTTCCATTGTTGAGTGGGAGGGGGGGGGGGGGGGTAAGGCAAAGGTGCTGAACCACATATAGTAATGCACCATGACCACGGCCCATACTGATCAAGCCCTATCTATACCTCTCCACAGTCGACATGGAAACAGTTGATTAACCAGGAGCCTGGCCAACATAGACAAAATCAATGTTTCTGTTGAAGTCAAAGTGCATCTGCCTCAGAGAGAAAAAAAAAATCAACATTCTGGACACACACAAAAATCAGATCTGTGAAACGTGTGTGCATGGAATAAGTTCAAAACCCAGAAGTGGATGAACAACCAGAACCTTCTGCTAGAGTTTACAGACGGTGAACTTTAAGAATACCAACAGATGATTATTTTTCACAGCTACAGGTTTAATGCTTTTGCAACAGTCCTTGCATAATGACGTATTTAAATTATTTGTAACTTTTTCTTAAAAAGGTGCAACTGAACTAATGGCAGTAGTAAGACTAGCCTTTCCTAAAATAAACTGTATATTAGAGTCTCTTCTTTCTTTTGTCATCTCACTGATACCGGGTTGTAGCGAGTGTCGCGATTTTCTATATTTGTCTTACTTCTTTAGTGGTTTGAATGATGGATTTGTTCATCTTGTTGCAGGTTTCAGCTACATCATTCACCCATCTCTTTCTTGGTCTTCCTCTCAGATGTTCTACTGTAAAAAGTCTCATTTGCAGTCTGGTCTAGCTGCCTTATCACTAGATGGCCGAATCATTTTATTCTTTGTCTGTGAATATAACCCAGACATAGTCTTATTCCAAATTTCTCTCTAATGCTGGTATTCGTAACCCTGTCTCGTCTAGTGTTGTTAGCGACCTTGCGGAGACAGCGCATTTCACATGTGGTTATTTTCGGTTCTAGTGCCTTATTCGTTTATACTGAAGTGATAGTGGAAAATGGGATAAACTGGATGTTAGTAACTCTATATGCCTGCTTTATCAATGGCTGAACTGCAACATTCTACTCTTCTCATATTCAACCATGGATACAATAAACATGCACTTCTAATACATCAAAATGTGTATATATAAACTGTTGGGACACTATGTAAATTATATATATTTTTTTGTATTTAGATAAAATTATACAGCCATATTTAACATTATCGTTTCTTCCTGTGATGCCAGGACCTCATTTTTGAGGGCAAAAAGATGAGATCCTTTGCTCCACTGACAAAAATGTCTTAATTGGTGACAAATTAAGAATTTGCTGAAACTGGGTGTGTTTAGTCAAAAGGTGCAGATATTACAACTTAGCTGTAATCCACAACACAACGTACCAAACACCTTTTTAAAGAGTGAAAGCAGAAATAGAAATATGATCTCTAAAAAGATGTTGCATGAACACTAGCATTAATGAAATACTAGGACAGGAAAATAAACTGACCATCACACAATTGTCATTCACGTTTTGTAAGACCATTTTAGGCAGTATTTCAGATCTGAGAATGCTAACAAAAGCCAGTGACAACCAGTGTGCACTAGATCACAAAATATTCCTCCCCATGACGCCTTTAATGGCAGAAGTGATTTATGATGAAAATGGAGGCAACAAATGGGTTTGCAACACTTCAACATGGCTGATATCTGCGCACACTCATGAAAACTAAGCAATCCCTGGTGCTGTGTGTGATGTTCACAAGGAAAGATCATGGAAGCCTGGCACAGCAACAACACTGGGTATGGTGTTAGAAAAAAGGTAACATGATAGCCACAAAAGTCTACCAAACAAAGTGCATGTGAGACAGAAGTTAGCAGCACAGCAATATGGTACAATCTCAAAGATAAATGACCCTTTTCCCACCAGCGGTCTATAATCCTATCAGGCATACAATGCTAGATTCATATTCTGGTAGACTAAACAGGTGTTGTGGCCAACATCAAGCCAGTCTATATACATTTAGAGACTTTACGTGGTACCAATTTTAGGATGGGTCGACACTGGAGCCAAAGTCATTGAAAAAAAAATTTGACTTGGAATCAAACCCAAGAGCGTTGGACCCAGCAGGCTAGCCCCTGGCCACTACACAACAGTTCCCAGCCCATAAAGATGTATATATATATTTTTTGCCAGAAATATATATATATATATGTGTATACATAAGACAAACAAGCCAACAAACACTGAATATATGATGCATTTATTAAAATACAAATACCCATGTCAACTAAATCAATGCCATTATGACAACATGCATATTTGCAACAAATCTATTTTCCACACCAGGCTCGTATAGTTACGTATACAAAAACCCTTTGGTGTTTAACAGGAAGTATCGGTATAGGTATACGGCAAGGTCACAAAATCAGGACACACCCAGACAATACCACCATCCTGTTGTGTCGTTATATGTCACATAGGGGTCACAACTTAAGTCTTCCATTCTATTCTACCCTGTGCAATTTTGGATGAAATCCAGCCAAACAACTCTGCCCTGTCTCAACAATGTTTATCTTGGGGGTTTTCTCTTGGATACCACTGTTTCCTGAAGCCGTCTGTTTCCCATTTCAATGCTGGTTTGGTGATTCTCTATGGAAAATACAACAATGGACCCAAACCATGCTTATTATCTGTTCTTCATTTATCTTGGCTCTAGGGCAGAAGTTTTAGGTAAGTTTTTTCTCCTGTGGTGATCTTAAATTCACTACCGTTTTATTGAGAAATTCAAGTTAGTATGATCACTGTCTAACATTTACTAATTTGGGACTGCTACTACAATGGAAGACTATTATTAGCACACAACATACAATCATTGATGTTTCAGTCTAGGAAGGGATATCAACTTATGTCAGGAGTAGAAAAAATATAAATAATTTAGGAACCAGCACATTTTAATTGCTGCAAATACAAGCTGATAAAACAGTAAATTAAAATAAATGCCTGAAGCAACCTAAATTTACCGATCCATGACTTATGCTACAAAATACAGTTGCAGTCACCAGTATTGCAGAACTTATAGCTAAAATTAAAAGATTTTTTCTGGCTTATAAGCATCATCTCGCAGCAGGTCCTTTACCAAACCATCACTCCAATTATAACAGGATTAACAAAAACTTGGCCCTTCCCCACCTCTTCTGTTGGCCCTTCCCCACCTCTTCTGTTTCATGCACTTTCCTGCACAATGCATCACATATGTTCTGTGCATATCTTTGTGCTGGGTTACCCCATTACACAGTACCATGTCTTCCACTACCCGATATGGCCAAAGTATTTCAGTTTTCGAGACAGTATACTGTATTCTAAATAAATCAGACCTGCTTCTACAGCTGAATGCATTAACTACACGATTAGAAAATTACGCTGTTGCAGAATTAATTTGGGTATGTTCAGACGTGAGTCTAATTTCAACTACTCTTTTGAGAACTGTAAGCAAATCTTTGTGAAATGATATGCAATGTACAAATATATGAATATGCTGTTTACATGACCAAAAACACTAAGATATAGTCAACAACTCGCTAATGTTTTTACTCTAAGTATTTATATAACAAATTCACTACCATAATGCATCTGAAACACAGTAAATAATAATTCCTGTGGTGTTTCAAAAAAGTTAGATTTGAATTTAGCCAATAATCTTTTATTTTTTTAATTAAAAAAAAAAAAATTAAGTGCCAATTTCTACTGCCTTTCACTCCAATGGAAAGAAAATTATTTAAGGTTTTTCCTTATCAACAATGTATTTATTGATTTTAAATGCACTTAAATAATTAATTAACTGCAACATAAGCTATCAAAGATTAACTTTATTTACAATTATGTACTTGACTCTCCTTCACAGAAGAGAAACACTGAGCTTTCAATAGTTTCATGTGAACTATGTATTAACATATTCATACAATCTAAGCATCTGAACTGTGTGCACAACCTCCTGTGTGTCACTACAGTCTAGATAACACATGTTGAGTCTCCAAAACAAGAATCTTCTTCTTCTTCACGTTCACCAGCTGTAAACTCTGGGGGGAAGTTCTGGTTGTTCATCCATTTCTGGACTGCAGTCCTGTTCTAGATCCCGAGCGTTGTGTGGGCATCCGTTTTACAGGTCTGACTCATTTGTTTGCAGACTTCCTTGCCTCTTAGGCAGATGCACTTCGACTTTGAAGGAAGCTCCTAATCAGTCGATTCTTACGACATTCTTTTTGGTAGGCAGTGGGTCTATTCTTGTTTTCCTTATAACAGGGCCCCAGAACCCACATGGGGATAAAATAATAATATACAATAATACAAAGCAACAAAATGGGGCGTCTCTTAATTAAATAATAGAAAACACAATATCTTATCATAAAAATGTGATTTTTCTATCACACCCTTAACAATAAAACAAGTACAGAGACAAACAGAAGATCAAGAAATATGATAATTTCCTAAAGTTTATGCCATTTATTGTTTCCAAGGCATGCTCCCTCTTGGAATCATATCTAACAGGTATTGCCGTTGTAGATCTTGCTGCTTTGCGTAAGGAAGATTGTAAGGATAGGGACTGCGGTGGGAAAAGGCTTGAAGGCCTAAAGGCTGGCCCAACTGTGCCTGCTGGTAAAAGCTGTGGTGTTGGCGAAGCTGTTCAGCGCTCGGCCTGAAGTTGGCAACAGCTGCTGCTGCGGCAGCATTGGCTGCTGCTGCGGCTGCACTGGCAGCAGAAATCATTGGGGCAGACGGGTGCTGGGACACAGGGGTACTGGTTGCTAAAGGCTGCAGAGTGGGGGTCGACGCTTGCATACGTTCAATTTCCTGTTCTTGTTGTAAAGCTTTGACGAAAGCAGACTTGAGTCGATTTGTGTGCTCCTGCTTTAGTGCCTTCTTTTGATTGGTTGTCACACAGTGCTCACAAATTACATTCTTCGAGCCTGGCTTCTCTCGCTTCCAGACAGGTGTAAAATCGGAGCCACACTGTACACAGGTGAAAGGAGTGCATACAAATCTTTCATCTGGGTTCTTCTGCCCACGTGCGATGAGCTGGAAGTCTATCATGTGATTAACTACCTCTTCAAGACCTAGAAGCAAAATAAAGTCTGGGCAGGCTAGTGAAGGAATAAAGTTCATTTCTGGTGGTGGCGGCTTGGGTGGAGGTATCTGCAAAAGTGTTTTCTCCAACTGTTTACGTAAAGCTTGTTTGGCTGCTGCCTGGCGCTGAGCCGGAGTTTGGGTGTCCTGTGGCTGAGGAGTTGGAGCCTGAGGTACCTGAGCTGGCTTTTGAGTTATTTGCTGCTGCTGCTGTTGTTGCTGCTGCTGCTGTTGTTGAATTCGCTGCTGACTACGGACTGCATCATTACCTCTGGGGATATTCTGTGGTATAATGCCACGGGATGAATGAGATGGCTGCTGAGATAAACTGCCGTGGCCATTTCCAGAACGAGCTGTTGTGACCAAGGGTGGAGGTCCTTGCTGGGATCGTGCCGGCTGGTTATTCATCTGCTGCCCCCACATGTGCGGACTTTGAGAGACATTGTTGAGAGCCTTTGAGGCTGGCTGATTTTGATTACCCCTGACTAAAGGTGGTGGATCACGGTGTGGCTTCATGCTGTGCTGATTCAGCTGCTTAGGAGGCTGGGGTCTGGCTGGTGGCGTTTGCTGGACACTTTCCTGGGGATGCACAATCTGGCTCTGTCTCAGTTTCTTCAAAAGTACCAGGGTGGCTTCCTCATTGCGTAAATGATTTTGAAGGGCTTTAATTCTTTTCAAAATACGACTACGGTGGACTGCAGCCTCTGGACTACCATCATCTTTGACAGTTTTAAAACTTTCTTCTTCATCAGACAACATAATCAAATCAGGCGACCGTAATTTTTCATTTTTAACATCAATATTTTCCTTCTCGCTTCCTTCTGATCTTACAGTTGAAGTTTCATCAGCCTGATCATCGCTGTCACTTTTTGTCGCTTCTTTCTTGATTTCCAAAAAACTGCTTGAATTTTTATTTAACTTGGAGACTTCAGTTATAGAGTCACTAAATTCTTCCCCTAAACTTTCCACCTTAGATATTTTTATTTCTAGTGATTGGTTTTTCTCACTGGCGGCACTTGCTTCATTTTCAACCAGATCTCCTTTCTCTCCTTTTATATTTACTTCATTTCTGTCTATCTCAAAAGCAATGTCCTCTTCACTTGCAATGTCTGTAACAGGTTTAATCTCAGAAGCATCAGATGATGTCTGACATTTGTCGTCACCTTTGTGATATCCTTTTTCAGAGGGACTGGCAGTGTCAGCTGACTTTTCAACAGTGTCATCCAGTTTTAATCTGGATAAAACAAAGAAAAATGTTTTAATCTCTCCTAATTACATTTACATTTTTATTTTATGTAACTGGAGACGTAAGCTGTGTTCTCAAGTGTCATCTAGTTTTAATCTGGATAACAAACAAACATTACTCTCGCTCTCTCAGGACAGAGTGATTTAGCTGCTAGGCACTTTGCCTGCAAGCCCAAATGTCATGAGTTTGAATCTGCATCAAGTGGGGTTCCCTCCTCCTTCAAAAATGACCTTCGCTTCCAGCCTAAAATGGTTACAACGTAAAATCCTAGGAAGTAAAGGCGGTCGGTGTGATGTTGTTGTGATGTCATTAAAAACAAATACAAAATTTTTTTTAAATAAAATAAAAAGCCAAGGACATCTTTGTTTACATGAGCTGTCTGCTCTTCTTCTGCTGTTAAACAAGATAAAACAGTCAACTATCACACCGAACACTAAAATACTTGTTGCTGGTTTATTTTATGTCATTTTCCCATTGATTTATGTGTATGTTTTTCTTCAAGTTCTTATCAACAGTGCTTGGTATTTTTCTTTTGTCCTATTTTTAAAGTGTGTTTGTGTGTGTGTGTGTGTAAAGGGGGTGGGGGGGGGGGGGGGGTTGTGTGTGTGTGTGTGTGTGTCCTTCTTTTTAGTATACTTCTCTACAGTTTATACATTTCACTGCAGAATTTTTCATTTCCCTCAGTATTTGTTAATATGCTTCCTATTAATTCATTTTCAGGGAAGGGGTGCTGCCACATGAAAAAGGTTGAAAAAACAACTGCTCTAACCAGACCATATCTTGACATCTTTTCCTGTACATCGTTAATACTGATATTACAGCTGAAGATATTTGACAAAAACATCATGTTAAACAATAAATCTGCTTCACTAAACTCACCTTTTTCTATTCAGCATTTTGCCATCATCATCATCATCTTCCATATCTACTGTCTCTGCAGAACGTTTCTTTTCTAAGTCTTCAGAATCTGACATGATGTGTACACTTTAGCTATTTAAAAAAAAAGGACAAGAAAATATACTTACAACAGAACTAAACAATAACATAATATGACTTGTTCTCACAAGGAGTTTATATCAAATGCTCTCTGCTCCAATTTTTTTTTCTTTTTACAGTTAGCACGGCTTGTTTATGTAGCTGAGCTGAACTTTGTGCTTTATTTTTACTGAGACATTATCATTCTTTTTTGAAATTTCCTAACACTAGATCAGTAGCACGGTATTTTGATTAGGACATTTCATTGTCTGAATGTCTTCTCTTCTTCGAGTTCACTGGCTGTAAACCCCAGCAAAAAGTTCTCGGTATTTCCCCACCTGAGGACTGTAGTCTTCTTCCAAAACATTTGAGTGTTTTGTGCACACCCGTTTCACACATTGCGGTTTCTTACCTCCCAGGCAGATGTACTCATTAATGTCAACAACAACAAAACCTTCAATGAGTCGACTCTTATGACATGCTTGTACTTAAAAAGAAAACCCTCTCAACTCCTACAACATGCTTATTGAATGCTTGGGAATGCAGTGGGTCTATTCTTGTTTTTCATTTTCCCACAACTGGGCCCTGGAAGCCACACAGATTATCTGAATGTGATCCACATCCATTCCTTTCACAAGTTATGTATCCCCCTAATCAACAACTCAGCATTCTCTGCCATCTATAGAGACTTCCATTCAAGCAGATTCAAAACATAATGCTCTTGTTTTGAGCTTACCTAAGACATTTTCTTAAAAATGCCAAATGCTGTACATAGCTAGGTTAAGAACCAACATCACAGCACTCGGGACATTACCATAAGCACACAGTACTTATCCTCAGCAGCCAGGGGTTCTAATACTAGTGCCAGCAGCAGGGCGATTGTATGTTATGGTCTTGCTTGTCGTCTGTGGTACATATAGTTAGTTTTCAACTTACGTAGCCTCACAGGCTTCTAGTTCAGTCTGAAATCCAACCAAGCCCCTGGCCCCGATAAAATCACGAATGATTTGTTACTAGTCATGGGTCTAAGTGCCAAAAAGAAATTATTAAACATCTTTAATGCCAGCTGGATTTTTAGTATTGTTCCTCCAGCCTGGAATCTTCGTAATCCTGAAACAAGGAAAGCCGAAGAACAACGCAGACAGCTACAGACCCATCAGCCTCACTAGCTGTCTGTGCAAATTATTTGAAAGATTATTGAACAACCGACTGACCTGGTTCCTAGAGAAAAACTTCAAACTAATGGAGGAACAGGCAGGTTTTCGACGTTGCAGATCAACAGGAGACCAAATTACATTTATTGCTCAACACATTGAAGATGCATTCCAGGAAAAAAAGCACACTATTGCAGTCTGGGTGGATATGGAAAAGGCCTTCGACAAAGTGTGGAAAAATGGGCTGAAACAAAAGCTACTTGAAAGTGGAATATCCCATCACATGCTTGGGTGGATCGTAAAATATCTTGAAAATCGATCTGCAAGAGTCAAGATACAGGGTTCAAGGAGCAGATCAGTCTCAATGACACATGGAGTTCCACAAGGCGAAGTTCTGTCCCCAATTCTTTTCCTAGTTTACATTAACGACATAAAATCAACCCTCTGTAATGGAGTTCAAGCCGCTATGTATGCCGATGATCTGGCGCTACTGAGTTCAGACGAGGACACTGAAAAAGCACAGACGAGGCTTCAAGAATCCCTCGGAACTCTAGAGAGGTGGTCCAATAGCTGGTACATGCCTGTAAATGGGGCCAAAACCACACACACCATTTTCAGTCTCTCTACCAAACCCCAGAAAGTTTCACTTAGATATGGCAGCCAGGCACTGATACATGATGACTCACCGTCATATTTAGGAGTAACCTTTGACTCAAGACTCACATGGAGAAAACAGATAGAAAAGACACAGAGCAAGGGAGTCAAGAGAACACAACTGATGAGGAAGTTAGCTGGAACAGACTGGGGGGCAAACCTCAATGTCCTTAAGAGGACCTATACAGGCTATGTGAGGCCAACACTAGAATATGGAATAGCTGCTTGGGGCACAGCAGCTAAATCAAATTTTCAGAAAGTCTCAAAGATCCAAAACCATGCTCTCCGTATTATGACAGGGGCAATGCGCTCCACGCCCATATCAGATATGGAAACAATTACTGGTCTCCATAATCTGGAAGAAAGGAGAGACACAAAGATCCTCACCCAGCTCTCCAAATACCACCACTTTTAAGAACAACCCATGTACAGCCGACTGCAGAAACCCCAGAAGGCTAGACTAAAGAGAACTTGCTTTATTAAGAACGCAAATGCCAAGCTCGCTGTCCTCAAACTCCCTCCCATAATACCAAATGTTCCACTTAAACCTTACAACGACTGCCCCGCTTGGCTTATGGATAGCCTACCAACAGTCAGAACCACTGTAACAGGGGTCTCCTCCAAATCATCAATGAGCAGCACTGATATGAAATCAACTACAGAAGGAGAGATCAATAGACTTTACCCACACCAGAGTTGGATTCGAGTGTATACAGATGGTTCAGCCAAGAGAGCAGTAAGAGACGGAGGAGGAGGAATATACATAGAATGCCCAATTGGTTTTAAAATCAACCAGGCTGTACCAACAGGTTCATATTCCTCGAATTACAGAGCAGAGGTAGAAGCACTTCTAGCGGCATGTTCTTTCCTGAATGGACAACAGCACAGCAAATATGACAGAGTGGTCTTTCTGACTGATGCTATGTCAGTTCTACAAGCAATTGTTAACCCAAAAGACACTCAGTTTGTAGACTTGACGCAACAGCTGATTTACTTAGGCTCTTCAGTAGAACAATCTGTACTGCAGTGGATTCCAGGTCACTGTGGCTTGGAAGGCAATGAAAATAGGACAGATTGGCCAGAAGCGGCAGTGACATGGTACAACCAAATAGCGACTTAACCCACCAAGAGATGAAAACACTAATACAATCTAGTATCCAAGAAAGGTGGCTGGATACCCACACCAGATTTTCTCCCCAAGACTCACTTCATCGCCTCTCTAGAGAGGGACAGTCTATTATATTCAGACTAAGGACAGGGCACAACAGATTTCGTCAACATATGTTCAAATTTTTCGGTGTAGGAAATACAGAGACGTGTCCCTGCAGCGTGGCACCCGAAAATGCTGAGCATGTGCTCCAACACTGTCAACTGTATGCTGACAACAGAGACGCAATCTGGCCTGTTCCAAACACACTAAAGACAAAACTGTATGGTACACGAGAGGATATGGATTGCGCGATAGCTTTCATAAAGGCTACCGGCCTCCTGATATAAGTTTTCTGACAGAAGGATCGAAGAAGAAGAAGTATGGGATGTGCTAAAAACACTTGCAGGATCCAGTCTATGGATTTTATTTTAAACTTTCTCCCAAATGATAGTAAATTTATAGTATATAGTTTGTTCACTTAGTATGGTACTAAGTAAACTAAGTCACATCAATAACAGTAACACACACCGGACACTGCACACTGATAATCTGTGATCAGATCTTGGTTAACAAGGTCGGCATTGATTGGAAAGGTTTTTCTTCTTAAATTGTTGATTGTCCACCCTAACAGCACTTTTAAAGCAGACACAAAATGTACACACTAAAAAGCAGGGATTCCCCCTTCCCCTTTTTATGGTTGCAAGGTCTGGTGTTACATTAGTAACACTAACATTACATAATTATTGTATTTAAAATTTAATATTTTCTTTTTCATATACATACTTTTTTTATTTAACTATTTAAATTTTATAACAGATTATCTGGCTCTCCTCCGAACTTCTACCCTGGCATTATGGCGGCAACAAATATCCTTACGGGGCTCAGTCCTATAAAAAATTTGCGAACTTCCGGCGACGAACTAACCGCGACAAAACTAGGATTACTTGACAATTTCAACAGACGCAACACTGCACACAGTAGTAGCCAACGATAATAGCGACCGTTGACAATTTTGAGTGTGTCTGCAGACGATTCTAGCAGACGATAATAGCCACCGTTGACAATTTCGAGACATTACAGACGATGAAAGCGATATGGATGGTAGACCACGCGCTCCCACGCAGATTAGCAATACTGTTCTTCCGATTGAGGATTTAGCAGCGGTAGATGTCAGACATGCCAACCTGTATCGAGTAATGACCGATAAACTGGTATGGTTTTCAGCATGTGCAAAACGCGGTTACACTCACCGCGGACAGTATCCCCCGCACCGATACGCGTGGCGCGGATAGGGGGCTAAACTAGGTGCCTGGGACTCACGAGCAAATTAATTAGAGGAAGTTGAAGGAGATGCGGTAGTTGTGGCTTGTGAGTCCCAGCCATCTAGTTTAGCCCCATCCATGCCGCGCGTAGCGGCGCGGGGGATACGGTCGGCGGTGAGGCACAGTCACAGAAACACGTCCGCAAGTAACAGATCGCTGAGACCCTGTTAGAGCATTTGTTTCGTTAAACGGAGCCGGCATATTTTTAATAGGACTGAGCCCAGTAAGGATATTTGTTGCCGCCATAATGCGGGGGTAGAAGTTCGGAGGAGAGCCGATTATCTACTTCTCTCAGTCAATGAATGCTCCTATTGCCTTTTTATTTGATGTCTATGTTCTTACAATGGGCTCTACTTGCAGATTTGGCCGGCAAGCTGGACGGCCTCGGTCGGCGTAGTGGGAGTTCTTTCCCTTGGCCGCACTCACAACAACGAGCGGAAAAAGTCACGACTCAAACACGACACTGAGGTCGACATCAGGGCTGCCAATGCTTGGTTGTGTCTCCCAGATCTGGGGTTTTTTTTTGACGCTGCGGGAAAATCTGGGATATTTTTTTTTCTGTGTGTCTGTCTGTGGGTGTTTTGCCAATCTGTGAGCTTTAATGACCGATAAATTCGCATGGTTAGGGGTTGGGTTAGGGTTAGGATTAGGGGCTGGGTTAGGGTTAGGATTAGGGGTAGCGTTAGGGTTACGGTTAGAGGTAGAGTTAGGGGTAGGGT